CCACCTAAATGCTCATTACTATGCAATTTCAACCGAGTCAAGTGATTTAAACGATGATAATTATTTTAATTAATACTGTTTGTTTTATTATTTTCTAATCTACGGTCATAAATCTAATATTCACTTCCAAAATTTAGGGGGACCGAACCCCCCGAACCCCCCCCCCAAACTACGGGCCTGACGAAACATTCCTATTTGAACAATCATTGGTCTATCGCACAGGATTGTAGAAATGTCACAGCTATTTGCATAGCATGAATATATTGTCACATTTTTCAGCGCCAGTGACAAGTGGCTGACCCGGGCGGCTGACCAGACTTTGATCAGTATTCTGTTCACCAGCAGTTATTCGTGCTCCATTTTCAAACTGACTAAGCATACATTTATGTTGTTACAACATCCTTATTAAAAAATAATAATTTTTCCTCAGGCTGTTACACCTTTAATCTATCAATGTTCGATGTGCGTAATCGGCACTCCAAAAAATATTTTTTTCTCTTATTATGCTGTATTTCGAATATTCGTTGCTATATGTTGACTATTTTTTGCTGAGAAGCTGCAGTCTACACACGCATGGAAAGAAAAGAACAGACAGTGTTCAATGATTGATTTATTTTTTACTCAGTCTGGGTACAATGACCTGACAGAGCACGTGCCTCAATTACCTTTCTCGTTTGTTTTGTTCAACCAACAAGATGTTTTATGACCAAAGTAGGGGGTTGGAGCTATCTGTCTCGTTGCATACCGAACGTGAATCGAGACATTGCCTTCTGGCGTGTTTTTTTTTTCTAATATTTCAATCAAGTATGCCCATAGAAAAAGATTGTTTCCAACCGTTTCCATACGTCGCGGCGGGTCGAACACAGCGGCTTCTGTCACATGCGTGATTTTGATTACGTAGTCTGATCGGTTCAAAATAATTCTAGCGTAAATAATGAAACCCATTCAAGCTTGAAAGATTCAGTACTGTGTTTCGGGGTATACGTTCTTGATTCGTAATGATTCGAGTATTATTTCAAATTCAGGTATTGGATGTACCTTTGTTTATATTGACTGAGTAGCGGATTAACCGCATAGCGTATCCAACATCGTGATAATGCAAGTGTTTCAAAAATCCCTGAAATGCTCAAATATCAAAATAAATCTTACCTCAGAATCTGTTCTTAAACAGAAATTGTATCAGTGTTTGGGAAATCCCGACAGAGCAGCGATTTATACGTTCTGCAGACAGCTCGAGACAGCTGGGTAATGTGACAAACAATCGAATGCAGTTAGTCATGGGAACAATAAAATAACCGATTAACCTCGACGTCGGGTTAAACTAGAATAAACTGGTGGAACGACAATAAATACAACACATGAAGGGAAACAGTGGATGAATTGTAGACACCATAATAATCGTTGTTGATGATGTAATATGGTCAAAGGTGAGGGTTCCGTTCAAGCACGGCAACTGAGTATATATCGGCCTTCGGAATCAGTGCGTAATCAAAGTCTAGGTCGGTCGCATAGAATGCGGCGACACGTTGTGAGCACTAGCAAATGCAATAAATAATATTCCAATGTCAATAATATGGACGCCGACCCCCCGACGATCACTTTAATGCCGAGATAGGGGGTCGCGTGTGTTTCTGATGGGTGTAGACGAGACAAATTCAGAATATATGCCCCGTTGGCGTGGTGATTATTTTGTAATTGTATTATATCAAATTTTGATTTTTATTCGAAAAAAATGGCTGGGAAAATAGTCTCTCTGATTCCGTATGCGTCCCTCTGTTTTAGAGACCTGCTCCCACCTCCAATGTATACTCCAATGATTGATCCATATATGGCGTACATACATTTAAATTAGGAGTACAGGTATATTCTACGTTCGTACGCGTATGACTTTTTGTATTAATCGCAATAAATAAATAAATAAATAAATAAATAAATAAATAAATAAATAAATAAATAAATAAATAAATAAATAAATAAATAAATAAATAAATAAATAAATAACCATGTTGCTGATGACAGTTTAAATGTATGTGACTGAACATTACACCTCTTAAGACACCTCTGTTAGATACAGTGCAATCAGGAAAAAGATCACAAAAAGTCGTGTTTTTTGTTTATTTTGATTTTGTTTTGTTTTTACTCGATGTTTTGATGTTGTTGGAGGTTTGCTCATTGCTAATTACTAATTACTGCGTGCGACTGTACAGCAAAACAAAGTTGTCTATTTTATTGACACTGCGTCATTGAGTACAATAACCGTAAAAACATGCAATTTGGCGAAATAAGTGTCAGAGAAAACTACATGAAATGAAGCTGACATAGACGAAGAGTTGATTATTCGAACATCGACGTGCGCCCATCAACACACTGTAGTGTTTGATTTCAACACTTGGTGGCGCTACACGCTTGTATGCAATTCTCACTTCAACACCCCAATATCAGGCGACACGGTCGATAATTGTCTTTGCTTTACTGGTGGTGCACTTCCCATTTTGACCATTCGTAGACAAATTCGCCACACATAATTATGGAATAAAATCCCTGTTGTAGTATCCATAACAACATATATCTTATGTGTATTCCATAACCTTGTCTTACATAGGCTAAGTTGGCGAAACTAGAGGTACCGAACGCAGTAACGACATTGACACCCAGTGAAGCCATTGCTATACAGAGTACGTGGTTATTTGTGTATGAAGATAAAGAGGAGAATGGCGTGGAATTATTTGTAAAGTAAGTGATAGTCCGCTCTTTCTTCGAATTTTCTTTTTTTGTTACATTGGCCGTTGAAGAGATAAATAATATGGACAACTTATAAGATATTAAGATGTTATTTAATGTTTTACAGTCTGGTAATTAATACTGTAACACCATGATTTCTCGTAAAACGTTATTTTCGTAACAACAATATCATAATCCGTTAGATGAAGGATGAATACTCTAATACACGTTTTCCCGAATTAATTGATTATTGGTCGATTACGATAATTGTTATCGGTCTTACATATACAACTTAAAAAAATAATTTCACCGTTTCAAATTTATCATAATCACTAAAATTCGACCTATTAGATTAACATGTGATCTCATCCAATTATCGGTAAATACATGCTATTTTTTAGACATTTGCTATAATATTAAAAGTAACAACGAACAGCAAAACCACCGGGGGTTATCTATTTGTTTGTTGTCTATTGGATACTGCTTAAACATATCTACGTCATTTTGACGTCACGGACGCGCTTCGCCGCCAGAGAGCGCTACTCACCACAAAGATTGTGAAATTATTTGCATTTCTGTTACAGACTGTTCACGGAGCACCCCGACTATCAGGCACTCTTCGGTTACCTGGAAGGTATTGTCGGCATTGAAAATATAAAGAATGTGCCATTTTTGAGAGTACACGCTTCCCACGTCTTAATATACCTTAACACGATGCTAGAAAGTTTGAACGATGGAACCATATTAGTGGAACTACTCAAGACTCTTGGATACACTCATGTGGGTCTGAATCTAACCCCGGAACACTTTGATGTAAGTAGAACACGTTATTTAAATCGCCGAAATAACTTGGTGATTATTATACACATTAACAAAGACTTTAGATATTAATAAAATAACTTGTATGAACTTGAATCACCCACTAATTAACTTCTTGTCAAAGATACTTCGAGTAAATAAAATCTGTCTTATTTCTGAGGTCGCCTATTTTTTGGGGATGATAAAGATTCAATTATTTTGATTTGCTGAGATGTATACTAGTATGTGAAAGGTTTCTACAATGGCATTCATGTAATCCATCCTAGTTAATATATAAATTCAGCTTTCCCGGCGCTCGCTTGTGCTTATTTCTTGCAATGTGTCACTCAGTATGATGTGTTGTTGCTATAGTTACAAATCGAGCTGCTGTTAATCGGTAAAATTCATTCTTCACCAGATAAAACTGATACTATTGTTTAAAAAACTCTAGTCAAGTAACTTCCACATACTAATATTGGGGGGGGGGTGAGAGGCATGCGCACAGTGGTGAAAACAATGTCGCCATTAAAATGTCGTTCCTATGACACTTCTACACGACCATGTGTCTGAGTAAAAACCTTTTATTTTCTTTATTTTTTCTAGGCATTGGGACCTATTCTTATTTCCTTACTCCAGGAGAAAGGCGGCGACAGCTTCACTCCATTTGCCGAGAAAGCATGGCTGAAAGGCTGGGGCGTCATGAAATCTGTTATCGTAGGTGCATTGGAAAATGGCTACCAGTTAGAAGACGGTCTTGGTTACTAGTTCGACTTCTTGTTGTTGAGAGCGCTTCGTAGACAAATATGTAATATCGCTGGTACTTTGTCGTACCTTACGCAGTCTCTTCACAAATGCATCTTAAAAGAAATAGTTATTAGGTATAAATATATTCAAATCATCCTCTAATCAATTGATATCTCTGCTGTAGTCGTAATATGGGATTTGAATTTTAGTATCGCGTGTGTAACTGGATCATTGTTTTCACCTTGTAATTGTAAGACAAATATGACTCATACAATATCGTCTGTAGAACCTTTACTAGATGGCGGCCATCTTGAATATTCAAATTTCTCAAGTAATGCCAGAATGAAGGTGACAATATGCAGATTCTCAATCACCCAATACGTGAGATGCAAATTCGATCAGCAAATTTTACGTCGAATATATTTTTCAGTTCCAGATAAAGTCAGGGTTTTCAATGGACTAGTGCGCATGCGCAGAATATCACGTGCCGCACCTAAACCTCGTAAATGGTCCACTGCAAAATACTTTATTTTCGCTGAAGGGATAATTCAGTGACAATGAAATCATGCTAATACATCTTTCCCCCTATGTTTTACATTCAACTCGTCAAAAATCAGTGAAAATAAATTCCATACAAAAAATCCAAAAAGTCTTTTAAGCGAAAATTATTTCCAGCTCAAATAAAGTATTTTAGTATTTTAAAGTATTTTATTCGAATCGGGCATTTGGTACAGAGTGTAAATTATGTATAACTGATTATCATTAATTAAAACAGTAATCGATATCAGATTAATACAATATATGTATATAGTGGCCAGTTATCATGGAATATTGATTCAAACAAAAATATAAATTCACAATTCATGGAACCAGATATAGCAGTTTTAGTAACACCACATATTGGAGAATTGGTTTGTTGTATTATTAACATTTGCTGCATCTTTTTTTTATTATTCATGCTAGACCTCTATCACGACGATTTCAGAAGCAATTCGAATAACTTCAGCATATTGCATATTTTCATAATTTTGTAACAAAATAACCTTGTTTTCCAGTTAGAAGCAAACCCGCCAGTATTCGTTCGACGAAATACTGAAAAACTGCAATGCGCACGCGCTACGATTTACCTATACGTGAAACTCGTGTTTTTAGTACTATCTCGAGCGAATACTTCTGTTTTTGCAGCCAACGCGTTATTTTTTATTTTACGATAAATCATACCCTAATGTGTTTAGGGACGACGTCAAAAGATCGATGTCGGATAAAAAACTTAATTCCTTTAGTTTTTTTCCAAACCCCCCTACCCCACACTGAAACTTAATTGATAAATATTGGTCATGGCGTCAGACTACATTCACCATTCAATACAAATTGATAATCGGACAGTAGTATTGCATAGCAGTTGGTTGTCGGGTGGGTGTAAAAAGATTTTACAAATGCACCTCATTTGACGCACAGATTTACACTCGAACCAAACCATTTTTCTGTGTTTTTTTCCTTTTCGGTTATTTCTGTCCATGATTGGATAGAAAAAAAACGAACTACAAATACTCCAAGATTTTTTTGACTTCATTAAAAAATAAAATCGTTTTTGTAGGATGGAAACTTTTTGAGGTCAAAACCCCCCACCCCCAAACTAAAGGAAATAAGTTTTTTATCCGACATCGATCTTTTGACGTCGTCCCTTATGAAGATGCAATATGAGAATCTAACAACATCATTTACTGTTCGGGAATACTTAAAGTTGTCGGTTTCGCTAAAACTCGTGTGTTCGTGTTGGGAGAAGCTGTTGAATTGAGAGCTGGATCCATCAATCAGCGTACCTGTAACAACTCGCATCAATTTCGAATTTCAACCAATAGATTGTGCTGTCTCATATGACGTCATAGATTTAACACACAAAAACACGAGACGTTCAATTTTCATTGAAAATGTGTCACAACACTTGACTTCGTGTTTCATTTTCCATGGAAACGCACGTGTGCTCGCAGTTATCGTCGACAGGGAAATACAGGTTTATAGTGAGGATTCTGCCAATTGAAGGTATTATGGTGAAGCGACTGGACGCCTGAATAAGTGAACCTTGCCTGGCAAAGATGACTTCAAGCCTCCCGCCTACGAAATTCGACCACATTTGTTTTTTGTGCATACAAACACTGCATTAAGCACGAAATGTAGAAAACTCAACGATTGCCTAACGATAATTTCGGTTTCAAATACGTCAGCTGATTGTCGGGTCACAATACTCTAGTAACTGAATGCAATAAACGAATATTTCAAGCGGGAAGTCGTCACCTGCGAAGGCGTCAGCTAACCATAGCGTGTCATTGTTTACAAACAAGCGTCTGCCCATGAGCCTTTGCGTTTTCAGCGTGTGTTGTTATCGTCGCTTGGGACTCAATTTTCGCGCGTGCGCAGGTGACGACCCTCCCGCTTCAACAAAATACTTTGAAGCGCTACAGTTATACCGCATAGTCCAGGGGGGAATTGGCACGAGAGGGCGCCATCTGATCTGAATGGAACGTTTCGACGTCAGTCGTCCGTAGCCCATCGTCAAGCAACAACGTCCCGTTTACGAACAGATAAAATAATTTCAGCCATTCCTTTACAGAATAATCCTCAACAAAACTTAGAAACATTTCATAGACAAATACAGGCTCCAAAATTATGTCTATTTCAAAACAATTCAACCAATAACCAGTTTGACGCCACAATTTCTTGCTGGAACCCGAGTTCTACGCGTGATTTTATTGCGTTCAAATCTGTTCCATTTCAAACTGCGCATGCACACACACT